CAAATCACCATGTTTGGTCAGACCAACTTATTTAGCATCCTTCATACCAGGCCTTCCTCCACATTCCCATACTTCTTTAAAGCACTCCTCCTGTCTCACCCTGATGACTGCAACTGCCTTGATCACTTCCTGTCCCCCCAGCCCCTCTTGCACACAGCTATCAGACTGACCTTTCCACAGCACATCCATTATTAGGGTGTTCACTCTGGAGACAACACGACACCCCCATCCCAGAGAAATAGTTTTATGCAGATCTTGAAGATCACTTGGGGGAAGGTGAGACGTTTCTCATAGGTTTAGTAATCCAGAAACTTTCTGGGAGTGAAGTTATTCAGACTCCAAACGCTTACCTTGGATATGCAAAGTTGTTGAAGCCTGTCAGGGTGAAATGGATGGTCCTGACCAGGTGCCAGTGGTGAGGAGAGACAACCCAGAGTCCCTGAGAAACAGCCGCCTTGGCCCAGCAGTTTGTGCAGTAGAATCCCTTTTGGCAATGGTAGAGCCCTCCGACCTCCAGGCTTCCCTCCAGAGAAGGAGTTTCAACGTATGCCCAAAAGGCACGACGAATCCATTTCTCATCACTTGTGGTCCTCTAAGTGGCACTGCAGAGGCTCATAGTTAATAAAAATTCTGTTCTTGCACTAGATGATATCATATTTTTCCTCAGCCATTTTCGCCTTTGGGGACTTTTTGGACCTTTGCTGGAGAAACACAAAAGATGTGTGCATCTCCTTTTCTCTGTGAAGGAAGCCTTCCTATAACACCAATCAAAACATGCAGTGCTGGACATAGGTGTTAAGGATGTACAGTGAGTAGAAAATCAGCCATCCTGCCAGTCCATATGACCAAAAAAAAAAAAAAAAAATGGCAATCTCCGATAGAGAGATTTGAAATTACAAAGGATTAAGATGCTTCAGAGCAAACAAAAGAAACTTCAGGGCAGGGGGAATGATACTACTTCCTAAATGTGAAGATTTTTCTCCAGTAATAAGCCTATCATTTGTGGAGTGCTTTACTGTTTGCAAAACCCTTCTGCATATATTTTTCTCATTTAATTCCCATAGCAATTGTGTGACATGTTGTGATTCTGCTTTACACATATGAAAATTGACCCTCAGAGAAATTAATCAGAATGCCCCTAATCTCAGAATTTAATAAGTGACAGAGTCTTGACTTAAATTTGTGTCTTAATTCTCCTAACTCAGTGCACTTTCCAGTCTACCATATGCTCATTATGTAGGTGGTTGCATGTGACATAGGAAGTAGGGTAACGTTTTATTTTATCTATCATTTTCTGTAACTTATAAGTAACATACGGAGCATAAGATGGGTGCCATTTCCTACATAGTGATTACTTTTCAGATTGCATTTCAAGATCATAGTTAAGAGGTTTGTTTGTCCAGAAGAAGGTGAGGCCACTCCCTTTGTTAAAGTGTTTCATTTTGCTACACCTAACTGCACTGCAGGCTTTATGCTGCCTCTGCCCCATTACTGATGGATACTTAAATGCCAAGATCACTGCTAGGAACTTTCTCTGAGAATATGCCATCTATCCCATGTCACCACTTCTTCTTTGCCTTCAGAGTGAAGATGTGCTCTTCAGTAATGTATCAGGAACACAACTATTTGCCCTTTGTGATACTGAGATACAGATAGATAGATAGATAGATAGGTAGATAGATAGGTAGATAGATATAGATACACACACACACACGTACGTATAATGATAATACTGAAGGCTGAAAAGTAAGGGTGTCTGATCGCAGACACCTCTTCATCATTTCTGTTATGAGGGATGAAAGAAATAGTCTGCATGTCTCAGAACTGAAATTCACTGACAAGCTAGCACTCATGTTAACCAACTTTTGACTAAGGGAAAATTTTAATTGACTTCTTTTTTTCTGACTGGTTTTATGGTCAAAAGACAAAAATGCAAACTGTTAACCCACTTCAAGCAGTAATGATTTAAAAATCATTAAGGTGCTTTATAGTTTTCAAAGTCTTGTTGTGTTCTTTTCTTTAGTAAGATAGAGTTACCCCCAATTTACAGATGTGAACGCTGAAGTCTGTTGACTTGGCCATGGTCATACAGCTGTTATCTGATTTGGACCCCAAATTTCTCATCCCAAACCTCTGCACTGATTCACAGATTCTGAGCTGACTGCGCGCGCACACACACCTTTGTGACTTGCAGGAAATAGAAATGAAAACCAAAAAACCCTTATAAAGTGCAGCCGTATAATGTAGTTATTCTTGTTGCTCCTGATAATATTATAGAACCACATTTCTACGTGTGTTTTCATGTACTGTGTTCTCGCGTTTTACTTACACTCCAGTGCTTAACAATTGCATTTTCAAGCATATGAATAGAAAACGCCCAGCTGCCCCACCAGACCAGGTTGACATAATATGAGCTTTCTGTTTACTCACTGAATAGGCACAACTCGTGCCCTGCCAGCTGCTTTGTCCACAGTCTTAACCTTGCTCTGTAAGAACCACCTGTATGAGTGGCTGGATGATGAATTCTATACTCTGGTTTGCCTTGGGATCTTCTGTTAAGATTGACTCAGATAATACCTCTGAGCGTGAACAATATACCACTTTCTGAAATAGGTTTGGACCACTGCAGCCAGGTGGACGTGGACTTCAAAAACACCGCATTGAGAAGGAATACCATTTATGGGGAGCTTCTTGGATGAAGAAACTGTTGAGAAAGAGAAAAGCTTAATGCTGCACTCAGGATACCTGAGTACTGGGTCAGGGTGTATTAGTATTTGGAGTATTAGGACTGTGAAGAATTGCCCTGTCCTACTCATTTTAGATAGCACATTGCTCTAAGATCACGGTGTAGAAGGCAGATTACATCCTTTTTACTGGAGGTGGGAGATGATTCATAAAAGACACCTATCCAGAGAAATGGACTTTTTAACAGTGGAAACTGATACCAGGGTCACTTTAAGATCCAGCAGAAACTTTGGTAGTAACTTGAATAGCGAAAAAGACAAGCCTGTGACTCAATGCAGAGAAAGCCTTTTCCGTACATGTAACCTGATGGCTACACTGAACCTGAATGTCAGTCCTTTTCAGGACTTAGAAGCACTTGTAGTTTCAACGCATAAGCAACTAGCAATCATCAGTACGTCAACTAAAACTCGGAACTTCATATTATTTAAATAAAATCATCATGCTTTAATCAGTGTAGTCATTAAGGAGAGTTACATATGTGCTTTACTCTTAGTCAAACAAAATCAAGCACCTCCTCATGCCCCGATGACATTATACCTTATTTGAACACAGGCCGAGCATGTTGTTGCTGGAATACGGGGAAGAGATGGTGTTGAGTTCGTCTAAACCTTTCCAGTTCCATTTGTAGACAGAACCTTGAGATATTTGGAAACTGAGTTTCTGCTGCCTGCAGTGATAGTTGTTCTACTGGAGATTTAATTGTGAGTGGGCTGTGACACCGGACTTGTTTGTTCCAAGTGACCTTATCTCAGTATCAAAACTTGGCCCAGGGCTTCCCTGGTGGCGCTGTGGTTGAGAGTACGCCTGCCGATGCAGGGGACACGGGTTCGTGCCCTGGTCCGGGAAGATCCCGCATGCCGCGGAGCGGCTGGGCCCGTGAGCCATGGCTGCTGAGCCTGCGCGTCCGGAGCCTGTGCTCCACAACGGGAGAGGCCACAGCAGTGAGAGGCCCGCGTACCGCAAAAAAAAAAAAAAAAAACTTGGCCCAGGACCTTGAGGGCATCCCTCCCCATTCAGTCAGGAGAAGCAGGAGCGAGGGCATGGGTGGAGTGAAATGTGTGAACAAAAGTGAGGAGCTGCTTCCCATTGAGATTAACTCCCTACCACAGAGAACTCGATTTCTAAACTGTTTAAACTTGGTCTGCAGGGGATTATTTTGTGATCCTTGTGTGCTTCCTGCATCTGTTTAGTCTTAAGTGCTTCCTAAAACATTTTTCAAAATCCACTCGTGATTTTCTAATCCTTCCTAATACATGCGCTGCTTAAAACGCAACTCTTCTCTTTCTTTAATCCCAGCTTTGAAAATGCAAACCAATGTGTGAGCCTTGAGAACACACTGGAAAAAATGACTGAGGGCTGTTGGATGCATAGCTGAATGTTGATGGGTCTGTTCATGCACCTTACAGAAAATTTCAATTTGTGTCTGCCTGGTCACTTCAATATGAAAAGTTAAGGCATTGTCATTACAGCCATTGTTTATGTTGGATTAGGGTGAAATAAATGTATTGCACTCCCTCTGCTGGCTCTGAAGCTGTAACAGCTTATTAACTAGACCTATTTTTAGATGTATTTCCCCATTTTTTTAAAAAAAGCAGTGTGTAGAAAAAGCAAGCAAAAACTGGGAAAGCTGTTAATTTTATTGTTCATTTAAAATGTCAGGAAAAACAAACATCTGCTCAATGTCTTTGGTTCGGATGAGCAAGAAAGCCTGCAGGTTTAGGCTTTTCAGCACAATAGTAAGAAAAAGGCGGGGGGGCACCTCCCTTCTCCCTGAGGCATGCCTCTGACAGCCTTGTAAATACTACTTGGTCCCTTTCAAATACTGAAATAATCTTTTCCCAGAGCTAGTCAATAAGTATGTTTTGTATGTTCAAAACAGTCCAGGAAAGTAAGCATTTGTTTGTCTTGGGGTGGGAAGGAGGAGAGAAGGTGTCTTTCTCCCGGTGTCAGAAAGGGAAGCTAAAAGATCACGCTGAAACGTTATACCCCAGGGAAGGCCACTCCCTTGCCGGAAAGCGTGTTATCCACAAGGCTGGAAGAGAATCAAGGCACTGTGGAATTTTACAGCAATGGTTCTACTCATGAGTGAGAAGAGGCTACCAGGAGAGCAGAATGCTCCAGGTGTCAGGGCGTCCTGAGGACCCCGAGCCCTGTTTCTCTCCTATGAATCAGCAGATTGAGGTTTTCCTGCAAAGGCGCATCCTGTGCCTGGCCTTCACTCTCTTCTTCTGCTCTTGCTTTGCTCTCTTCCCCAGGCGTCTGGATGCCAACCACATCAGCTCCGTGCCCCCCAGCTGTTTCAGTGGGCTGTATTCTCTGAGGCACCTGTGGCTGGATGACAACTCTCTGACAGAAATCCCTGTCCAGGCTTTCAGAAGTTTATCAGCGCTGCAGGCCATGACCTTGGCCCTGAACAAAATACACCACATACCAGACTACGCCTTTAGAAACCTCTCCAGCTTGGTGGTTCTGTAAGTTTTATTGATTTTTTTCCTCTCTCTTTTAACAGTTTCTAAAGTCACTGTAACACCTTGTAATTCACCGTAAGACCTTGACCTTAAACAGATAGCCCTTCAGACTTTGAATAGGGACATTTTAAGGGAGGGAAAACCCCCCAAAATGACTCATAAATGTTCTAATTGTGTAGAAGAATTAAACAGCATTTATCGAGCACCTGCCAAGGGCCAAGCACTGCTAGGCATTCAAAGATAACAAAATACGACCTCTGTCTTAGGGAAGCCATTGTGTATTGTACAGGTAATCACCACGCCGTATGGTTAGTCCTGCGACCAAAGTTAATAAAAAAAAATCCCTTACTTCTGATAATAATTTATAATGCAGGTCAAATTGAAATATGCCCTTCTTATTATTTAATAAGAACTTCTTGACCCCCTTCCAAGGGAACAGAAGCGAGGAATGAACCCTTGACAGCGAGCTATGCATTTGTATGGCTTTTTTCCTTTGAGGTCCAGATTTCACTATTTCAAGTAAATCAAAAAGATTCTCCAGTAATAGTTTGAAAACTAATCAGTTCAAGAGTGTAGAAGGATGTCCCACGTCTATAACTATGTCGATCAATCCTGATATAGGACAACAGTAGCTGCTTGACAGCCTCTAAGAGCAGTGTGCATGGAGACTTCGTGGAAGGCGTCTTCTGCACTATTTCTGGCTTTGCTCCATGCCCCCCACCAGCCCATCGCTCTCTTCAATCACTCCACTTTTCCTGATGACACGTCAGTCTCTTGCACTGCAGTATATACTCTTTTGACGGCTGGCCAGCATCTCATCCATCTTTTTAGGCTCCCCTCAACCCTCTTTCCTCATGTGTTGCATGTAAAAAATCCTCAATAAATGTCACAAAGATGTCACATGAAACCAACATATATTTATTAGAATGAAAACCTTAGTCTGAAAGGATAGGACATGTGGGGCGATAGTAACAAATTTCTACACTGAATTTCACATACAAAGGTGACGGTTCTATCCCACCAGAAGCTGGGTAGGTGCTTTAATTTTTCCCTCCACTAGGGGGAATGTATTTACAGAGATCCAGCTATTCTTTTTCCCCCTGTCCTTAAGCCCATTTTCCAAAAACCCCTTTGGGACTTGGTCCGGTTTTCAGTTATGCACACAGCTGTTCTCACTGGCCCTGACCTAACCAATTTAACCATTGAGCCAAAGATGATAATTAGAGTCATTTATACTATGTCAAGATAACTACTCTCCTTGGGCAGCCAAAACATCTGATCGCCATTCTCTGTGGCCGAGATTGTCGTTTCCTCTTAACCTGTAGCCCCACCCTGGGAATGTAGCCATGATAAGCCATCAGCTTTAATAGAAAACGTGCTTAGTACACCTAGGACCTTCCTTCCATCCTCCATTTGTCAGTGTTGGTCAGAATCTCTATTTAGTATCCTACATCCCAAAGCCACACTGAACAACCTGAATTTACTTTTATCAGTCTCGTTGCTCACTCCGTGATTATCATACACTCCACGCTATCTCAAACCCAAAAGGTAAAACTGTGACTGCCTATTAAATTCTGGGGTATAGCATCATCTGTGATAAGAGTGAACGGAGCGGATAGCCTTTAAAACAAACAAACAAAAACGTTAAACAAAGCATTTCTTATATATAATCAGTGCATTCTTTAGCATAAGTTTCTTTGGATTTCAGCAATCAAAATGTTGTGCCTAAGTTTCCATGTGCAGTGTGCCTTCCTGACCGTCAGTAATGTTCTCCTGCAGGCATCTCCATAACAATAGAATCCACTCCCTGGGAAAGAAATGCTTTGATGGGCTCCATAGCCTGGAGACTCTGTGAGTTGACCTTTTATATGTTTCCCTTTTTTCAGTGTTTTCATGACTATTCTGAAGGAATCGAAATAGCCTTCAAGTCAGACTTGCTATTTGGTTTGGTTAATTGCCTGAGCTTTAAACAGATATTTACAGTGGCTTCATCTTACCCACCCACACACACCCTACAGAGCTGAACAATAAAACAGATTTTGTTTTAATCTATCAAGAGTGATAAATTAGTTAGAACCCTTATAAGCTAAATGAGATGTCCTCTACTGAGCAGTGACTGTTTGCTTAGGAATGTGTTCTGTCAAGGATCAGTTCCATATTGTCACTCAGGCTCACTATTCATGAGTCTGGTCCAACCCCCCCGAATGAGAGGATGCAGAGTAGCAAATGCCAAACTCTGTCCAATCCAGAAGGAACAGGCATCTCATTAGCAAATGGTGAAGCTTCCTGCTGAAGCAACTCGGAAGTCTACAAAGTAGTAACAGTAGTACATTTATTGAGTGTATCTCTAACCAATATTGTACTGAGCACTCAGCATACATTGTTTCAGTCACTCCTACAAGCATCCCATGAGAGCAGGTGCTACCATACCATTTTAGGCTCCAGTAAGGTTAAGTTACTTTATCAACACGACATAGCCAGTCAGTGCATAACTGGGATTTGCTTCCTTCCCTAGTTTGACTCCAAAATCCATGCTTACCACTATACCCTACTTCCAAAGAGTGGGTCAAAACCTCAGTTCTGAGTTGGTCTGTAATAAAAATACATAGAGTCCAGCCAGCTGACCACCCAGAGCCACAGCGAGAACAGTTCTTACAGGCCTCCGCAGGGCTGAGCTGTTTCCTAGGGGAGGGGCTGCTCTTCATTGCCCTGTTGAGTAAGAGGCCTAATGAGGGTGCTCACAGGCAGTGAGATCACCTTGTGTGCTGGGAGAGGAAGTGGTTCCAGCTGCGCCCTCCTCACCTCCATGTTTCTAACACTCAAGTGTAATAAGCCACACAGCGCCGCTGAATCTGCAACACTGGCTCTGACCAGGACTGCGGAAGGGCGTGACCAAAGACCACATCTCATATGGCTTTGGAGCCCTTGTTCACTTGCATACAGAGCTTAGCACTTTGTACCTGGTCAATTTAGCTTCTAACCAGATCTGGGTCCACTCATTTCCTGCGGGACCTGACAGCTGTCCTTCCAGGGTTACTTAAGTCACTCTGTGCTTCCTCTTAGAAAGGAGGAATCATCCTCATAAGGAGACGCCAAAGGTGAACTTGTCCAGGCAGGACTTTGAAGTCGACTTAAAGGCACAGGCAAGCTGTTCCCATCAGCGGCTTGGAAAAATTAGAACATCTCCCTTATTTACACAAAGGCCGGGCTGGGGAATATTAGCAATGGATAGCACCTTTCAGTCCTTTTCAACACAACAGGAACATAAAAACAAGATGGGCTTTGATAGGTATTTCCATAAATAGTCTTCCTCACCGCCCCCCCCCCCCGCCCCCACTACAGGGCGCTTGAGGTAAGGACCCAGGATTGCAAATTCATGCAGTACATGCATTCAGGGCAAATTCATGTGAGTCTCAATGTCCCCTCTTCCCTCGCCTTGCCCAGGGCTACAGAGGCTCAGTAGATTGGTTATTCCCAACCTCTTCCTTTCCCTCACTAGAAATCTAAGTAATTTATAAGGACCCAATCCTCGTTTAATCAAAACAGAGCATCTGGAGAGATTTACAAACAGGAAGAAAATTTATGTCCACAAAAGACACAAGTTTCCTGCCTGCTGTATAGCTTAAGGATGGTTTGTGCCAGACAAGTAGGAATCTTGATTCATGTTTAACTTGGTCAAATTATCTCTCTCTTAAAGTTAAATAGGAATTCTTCCCCACAGAGGAAGATCTAACCACATCTGATTGCCTGACCAAAAGGTTTTTCTGCGTCATCTGGGAAATCTGCCGTTCCCAGAGACAAGGAGGAAATTACTTTTTCATATGGAGATGTAGATAAACGGTGGAGTTAAGTCTAGAAAGCGCTTGTGAGTAATGGAACTGAAAAGCCATTTGTGTCATAACAGAGAAACGAATGATTTGAGATTGTTTGGCCATTCCGTCTCTATGCAGGAAGGATGATAGAGAGCTTTGCCTCACAGACGTCACCCTTCGGATCTGAATCTTTATTTGTGACCATGTGGAAATTCTAGACCTGAGGTTCTTCCTGAGAGTACCCTGTACCACATAAGCCTCTCCAAAAGTAGGCTACCATCCTGGACCTCAGGCTGGGAGAAAGACAGGAACTGTACCAGAGTCAGGAACAAAGCCACTCTCCTAGATGTCCTCTAGGACATCTGAAAAGCAGTGGGACAAAGTCAGAGAACGGAGGAGGGGACTGGAAAGCGGATGTGGTTCAGGAGCCCCGAGGAGGGTACAGACTAGCTGATAGCTTGGTGAGCGGGGTTCGGGTGAAGAGCTACAGCGGCCAGCCGCCAACACCTGGCCAAGCGTCCCTCCCGCTTGGACATTCACGCTGCTGTATGTCCCCTCCCTTCTTTTAATGCCCAGTGCCATTGAGCCGTGACTTTTTGAAATTTCTCATGACCAGTCTAATGACCATTTTAATGCAGATACTTGTGGAATGATGGTGGTCAGACAACCAACACAATCTCTCTTCATTAAGAAAAGGAATGAGAATTGTTATCGATGATACTGGTCCATGGGAAGAGCATGTTAACGTTCCTTGTAAATGTAATATATATGAATTTTTAAGTGAAAAACTGAACATATTATTTACTTATTTTCAGAGATTTAAATTATAATAATCTTGATGAATTCCCCACTGCAATCAGGACACTGTCCAACCTTAAAGAACTGTAAGTAGGACAAATTTAGTGGGAGAACTATTCTTTGTGAATTTATATTAAAGTATGTTTGACAATTGCACCTAATACGACTTACTAGAAAAATTTAAAAGGTCATGTAAATAATGATTAACTACATCCAAAATATATTTTAATTTGCTTCTATCACCAACAAACGGCAGATAATCATTTTTTAATTTATAATGGATTTCTCTAATATATATATATATTAGAAAAAAGGATACATATTTCTTTAAGCCATACTGTTTTTCTAAGCCACATTTTCCCAACATTTATATACGTTATAGGTTTGTAGAGAACTCTATCGGAATTCAGTTATTTGCTGAGCATTTCAAAAAGACAAACTTTCCTAGGTTGCATAGGACTGGAGGAACACAATATATGTGCCTAGTGTAGTGCTAGATGCCTTCATATACATTATTTCATATTTTTTAATGTTTCATAAATCTTATTTAATTCTTAAAGAAACTCACCATTTTACTACAGTAAAGCGAACTTTCAGCTATTAGGTTGCATATATTGTCTTTTATATATTATAATTACTTTTCTTTGTACCTAAAAATGTGAATAACCTATGTAATGTTCTAACACTTGGAAAGGAAAATAAACACAGAGCCTATTCTCTTGGCAGAGAGAAATAAGACACACAGCTAAAGGAGGTAGACAGCAGGGCTTGTTTATAAGAAAAAACCTCTATGTGGTTCTGCCTCAGGAAACCCCACACGGGGCTTAGCTGGGAAGTCATCATTGTCTGGGTCAGGCAGCCCCAAGACTGCCATTCACCTCATTCAGCCACAGGCCCACATAGACCAAAGACCATTGACTCTACCCCTCTGCCAGTCAGACAACATTAGCACTGACAGATGAGAATCAATTTGTTATTACAGACTCACTGAGCTGGGGCACCTTTCTTCAGCTCAGGAAATTTTGTCCTCATAAGGAGATTACTTAACTCTCTACTTCACTGCAGCTTAAGTCAATTTTCTCTTCTCCTGGCTTTAAATGGGGTAAAGAGGAGCGATCATAATCCTCTCTCCAAAGATGGTTTCCTCGGTCTCAAGTTGTTATACCATGATGCTCTATTGGATATTAACAGATGGATTTTCTTTTTATAGCATTAGGTTGTAAGTTTCCATAAAGCACAGTTATTATTTTCAGATTCTTTATTCCTCTTTCCAGATGACAGCCTGTGATATCTTTTTCTCCTAGAGAGTACGTGAGGGCACAAACATTTCAAAATGCATAGAGGAATTTAACCTTATCCTCTAGTTACTAAAATTGCTGATTATTGCCACGGGTTTGGTGAGGGGACTATTAAATGATTTTACCCCACAGGTTATTTTCTATAAATTATCTTTTCCTCTCTTTCTAGAGGATTTCATAGCAACAATATCAAGTCGATACCTGAGAAAGCCTTTGTAGGCAACCCTTCTCTTATTACAATGTAAGTAGCCATAGTTCTGTTCGATTCTTCTATCCTGCAGTATAGCATGAATTGCACTTTTAAGCATATACTATATTTGCCCAAGTTTTGTCTCGGTCACTGTAGTGTATATGGAGATGTTTTGCTAAGTTTTAGCCAAATGCTGAAGCAATATTAGAGATTCTTTTTCTTAGGACCTACAATGTGCATTGCCTTATGTTTGGTATCTTCAAATGCCTTGTGTCACTGCACAATAATCTTACGAAATGCTTTTTTGCTTATCTCTATTTCCTAAGGAATAAAACTGATTTTTAGAGCATCCATGTCAAGGTCACCATTGTCATTCAGTCATTCAGAACTTGAACCCAAGTATAGTAGAAACATAAATTATTATGTTCTCACCCCAAAAAAGATAAATATATGATAAATAGTTAATTATCTAGGTTGGGGGAATCCATTCACCGTGTATACCTATATCCAATCAACACACTGTAAGCTTTAAATGTACAATTTTATATGTCAATTGTACCTCAATAAAGCTGAAATAGAAATACATACATACATACATTATTATATATGATAGAGGTCCTTTACCGCAAGGAGGGGGAGATGAGGAGACTACTGCTTTACGCTAAGTAGCCATTCGATACCCATTCATTCTCGAGTCCAAACACTGAGTTACATTTATACAAACTAGGATGTAATTCTGGAAAGGTGCATATGTTCTAGGAAGGTGTATATGAGGATCTGTATGCCATAATGGCATAAGATAGAGTTATAACTTCAAAGTAGGATTAATTCTATGTTTCATATTTAGCACAAACAGAAAATTGATCCTGTGTAGGTACATATAGGGAGGTGAAAATACGTAAGTAATAGGCTGGCTCTTAATTAAAAGACAACTGGCAGGTTTGGGACATAGTATTGGCCTAAGGTCACGGGTGGGGGGTCTGAAATATGGAGGAGAGTAAGGACGACTTCTGAAAAGGACTCTAGGGCACTTCCTGGCAGATATTCGGCATCCTGTGCCAACTTGATAGAGAGGCTTTCTGGAGCCGTGTAGCATTTGTCACAAATGAGCTGGAATCCCAACTAGCCCTGACAACTGAGAAAAAAAAATACCATTCATCATTTCTGAAACGTTCTGACAGTATGTTGGCAAACTAAGGGGGTTAAAGTTTGTTGCCAGTAAACATTAGTTCTCATTAGAGAGTATTTACATACTGAGAAGTTGGCAGATTGCATTGCCTTTCTTTGCCCCTTCTTTCCTTGAAGCCACAGGACTGGTTTTGTTAATCACCCTTTTGATATGTTAATACCCCTTGAAGAGGACTAACAGCCCCCCAATACTTATTAGCACTTCTCTCCACTTTTTGCTGGCCTTGACTGTTTTCTTCTGGAAGCTCTTCTGTCCTTGCTTCTGCCTCCATGTCTATCTCTGTCACTACCGTCCCCGCCCATACTCCCCCCAACCCAGATTTCTTTGCTTTCCTTGTCCATTGGCTACCCAGGCCTCATTTCTTCCTCTGTAGTCCCCATCCTATCCATAACTTCTTTCCATCCCCTCTGCCACCAGCCCCTCTGCTAGCCATTACCTCTAGATTTCTACCAGTCTAAGGCTCACCCCCCTGCCTCTACCACTAGCACAGTGCTCACCCTGGAAGCACAGCATCCACGTTGTCATTCTCTTGCTGTGAAACATACAGTCAGTGTTGTCTGTTTACATTAAACGCCAACTCCTTTCCCTGACAGTCCCAGCTTTCCACATGGCCCAAGCCAACCCTCCTGACCCAGTCCTCAGTTACCTTACGCCATAACCCAGACCAACTAAGCTACATTCATAGGACAGATCCCCTCCTTTATTTCCTTTGCTCCTATGATTCCGTCCCCTAACTATGCTTGTCGAAATTCTGTTTTCCAGGGTCTATTTCAAATGGCATTTTCATGAAGTTTCTCTTGACCTCATGAGAGAACTCCCTCCTGAGAACCCTATAGCTCCGCCTTGTGTTTGTGATACTTATGCCTTATGTACATAAGCATGTGTATTCATAGCTGCCCATTGTACTTACATGCACGCAGGTATATGAACATAATTACATACAAACAAGCACATAGTGTAGATAAGGGATAATGTAATATTCTGAGGACAACTCCGTTTCTAAATTGTAAGATGTATAGTCCTCCTATAATCGAAGAGAATGAAAAAAAAGAATATATGTGTATATATATATATTCCTGAACCACTTTGCTGTACACCTGAAACTAACACGACGTTGTAAATCAACTATATTTCAATAAAAATATTTTAGAAAAAGATTTATAATAAAAAGATGTACAAGAGAAAACAAACAAAAAAGACCTATAGTCCAGCTCTAGCCCTTTCTCTTACCAGTTGTCTAATCGAAGGGAAAAGAAGAAGTCAGAGGGTGGGAGTGTGGACGGGGATTTGGCATGTTGAGTGACAACTATATCCCAGGCCCTGTGCCAGATGTTACATGTGCATTAGCTCTTTTAATGTGTACACAAACCCTACTACTAAGTATTATTACCTTAGTTTAACAGATTAGAAAGTTGAAGCTCTGGGAGATAATGAGCTTACCAAAATATCTGAGCCTCAGCTTCTTCCTCCAAAAATGAGGGAAATAGTACCTAAGTGTCTATGCCGTGGATCTTATAAAGTTGGCAGGTGGATTAATTGAGCTCTAGATATGAAAATGCTTTGTCAACCAGAGAGTCATATCCCCTTATTTGTTTGTTTTATCCCAACTGATTCCAAGCTTCTTTAGGGCAGGGACACCTTATCATTCTTATTCACATCCCCAGCATCTAGCATAATGCCAGGCACATAGTAGGTAGCTAATGACAGCCTCCTTAATAAATCAGTCTTTAACGGCAAGCAGTACCTACCCTCATGCTTTGAGCATAAGAGACACCAATAAATATTTGTTGAATTTAATTGAACTGGAAGGATGTCTCAGCTAAGAACTGTTTGTGGGACTCCATTGACCAGGTGGTTCAAATACCTTTACACTGAAAACATCTGTAAAACAAAATATTTCTGAAGTTCTAATAATGTCTTACCTTTTAGAGCAATCATTGATTTTTTTAAATCTAATGTTACAAAAACCCAGAGTAGCAAATTTACTCTCAAATAATTTGAAGGATCCTTTGTGTGTGTGTCATAAGATTTGACCAGAGGATATGACCCTCATGTGACTATATAGAACTTCATCTTTCTTTAGCTAATGATATAACTGCCAGCACCTTGAACTACCTTTTGCCACTTAATGGATAGACCACAGATATTGGAGGCAGAGGAAGAGCTTTAAGTATAACTGTAGTCAGTTCACTTGCTTTTCTCCATAGGAGCTGACATTCATATCTGCCTTGCTGTCAGAGATTTTCAATTTTATGTAGTATGGATTTCTCAGCAAAAGTCTCATAATACGAATGAAAATACTTTTGAGGTTTACCTGAAACCAAGTAATCAAAATTACACAAGTACATTGAAGGCATTTGTTGAAATTCTGAACAGGTGTTCATTTGTCATTCAAGTTTTATACTAAGACGTTGGTCTTTGGATTTTTTCAGACATTTCTATGACAACCCTATCCAGGTTGTTGGGAGATCTGCTTTTCAACATTTACCTGAACTAAGAATACTGTAAGTGTTTATTTCTCTTACAGATCATTTTCCCTTTGCAAGGTTGCTGTGAAGACCAAATGAACATTTCAAGTGCTTTGAAATGGCCATAAAAATGACCCCTTCCTAGAATCTTCTCCCAGTAATACTCATGTACTCCTCCTTCTAGGACTTTGAATGGTGCCTCACAAATAACTGAATTTCCTGATCTAACTGGTACCGCGAGCCTGGAGAGTCTGTAAGTACTTGAGTAGGCTCTTGACTTTGCCCAGAACTTGCACTACCCTTCGAGCCTGACCAGTCTTAACATCAATGAATCAAAATATGTCACTGTATGATGCCTAAATACAAGAATGATGTCTGGTTTGTGTTTCCACAGGACTTTAACTGGAGCGCAGATCTCATCTCTTCCTCAAACTGTCTGCGATCAGTTACCGAATCTCCAAGTGCTGTGCGTGTCAGTAAAGCACTAATGTTGTGTAAACGGGGGTGAAATGACCAACATTATTTCAATAATCCTTTAAAAGAGGAGAAAGTTCTCTCCTCGCAGGTTTTCAGGAGGTCAGGCCTCCTTTGCCTACTTGGGGCCAGGGAAGTGGCTCTCAGATGTGACCCTGGTAATAATGGCAACGACATACCCCTTGTTTCCAAGTCCCAAACAGTCTCCCATTCGAGTTTCAACTAGCACACATTTCCCTTCAGAAAATGGATATGAACAAGCCAAAATAACTTCATTGCCCCCAGCCCCAAATCCTCTGCAGAGCAGGAAAAAAAAAAAAAGAAAATCATGGATCAAAAACCCAATATGGATGCCAAAATAAAATTATCAGACCCACACAGACCTTGATAAAGGCAACCAAACATTCTTCCGGTATAGTTGCTGGTGCCATGTTCTAATGTTTCATCTAATGGCTAAACAGCTTGCATATGTTATTTCTGTTGACTTGGGGCTTTTTTCCTCTGCCCTTCCCACATTTTACAAAAAGTAGTTTATAGGAATTGGGAGAGCCTTGTTCTGACCTTCCATGTTCAGCCTCCCCCCTCAACGCCCTGTGATCACCTTCTCAAGCACTGCTGGGCTGTAGTGAAAGCACCCTTAGTCTCTCGCATGGCTCTGTTCTCACATGGCAGACTTCTGCGGCAGTCCAATGCCTGTGATTCCAGCACAAGCCTTCCGGAGTAACAGAACTACAAGCAGCTCTACAAATGTCAAGTGGAAGAATGGGAACATTCTTCAGTGATTCTGCCTTCCCCTCTCCCCAGCCCACTACGTCACTTTCAGACCGCAGTTGCTCAGTGATAGGAGTTGCAATAAACCACGTAACAGCCTTAAAGTGAGTCGTTCATGTATAAAGGAAGGGGATTAAGAACAAGTCTCCTCTTCCTCACCTCGTATCTCCCTAGAAGGTATAGATACAGGTGAGGAAAGAGAGAATTAGGGAAGTAAAGTACATCTGTCAAAATCACACTGCAAGAAAGTAGCAGAGTTCGAATTCAAATGCAGATGGTTTGATTGAATAACTGGGAGAACAAGTATAGACACCAGGTGGTGGAAATCTCAGGAGCCGTCTTCGAATTCTGCCCACCACACCAAGAATAAGCATAATTATCCTCATTTCTTCAGGAAGCTGGCTCAGTAACATGACCAGGATTTCACATACTGTAACTAATAAATAGGGAGCCAGTATTTATATCGCATCTGTCTCCAGTATGTCACACAGCGAATGGTAAACCACCCGGGTCTAAAGCTGCATACACCGAGGCTGACTGGCGAACTGATTAAGAGCAGAAGCTCTGGGGTCTATTTTTCTGGTTCAAATCCGGCCTCTATGCTATCACAGTATCTTGAGCGAGTTATTTATCCCTTCCGGGGCTCCATTTCCCAGCCTATAAAATAAGAGATGTAGCCACTTCCTTCAGGGGATCGTCATGAGGACGCAATAAGTTACTACACGTCAGACACTTATACCAGCACCTGGAGCACTGCAAACTCTTCGACCATGTTAGCTCTTACCATCGTCTTTCTCGCTTCCTTTACACCATTATTCTTTCCTGGAGTGGAAACCTAGAAAGGCCTGAAAGACAGCAACTGCATTAATGGCAGTATCCGGCCATTTTCAAAGCACGTCAACCTGTAGCGTTGATTTGCTCTTCACAACAACCCTGCAAGATCAGCAAAGCACGTATCTTCTCATTAAAGAAGAGAATTGAAAAAGACATCAGTGCTTCATCCAGCATATCAACGAAGTAGAATTAAAGTTGATAGTAGAACCCGGGGTCATGACATTTACTCCACTCTGCTTTCTGTTCTGGAAGTACTGGTCTGAGAGCTCTCTTCCTTTGGCTGCGTCATCCACTGAGTAGCTGTTACATGAGGCAATGTCACTGTACATGACTGATTTTGCCTCCAAGTTGCTTCTTCTCCATGGGAATGACTTGACTGTGTGTGGCTTTCCCCACTTACTAGCTGGTGATCTTAGTCTTTGCTTTGTATGGGAATCAACACAGATGTTTCCTTCATAAGGTGACCACAAAGATTAAATGAAATAATTCAGGTCAAGCTGTAAACACGGTGTCTATATATAAGAAGTGCTTGATCAATGCTAGCCATGAAAATCATTAGGTAATAGGTAGGAAGGTGGTGACACTGTGTCTTTATGTAGAAGAAGGTTTCATGTACCCTCTACTAAGAATTACACAGGAAGGATTGTTCCCCTTGCTGTCTGTGGAAATGAGTGAACCAGATTATTATCAGCTTTGATAATATGTGTGTCCATTTTATCACATTCACTACTTTCCAAAAATACACACCATATTGTTAATCGGCTGTATTTGTGCATAGGTGTGGGGCATTTTTGTTTTGTTTTGGTTCGGTTTGGTTTGGTTTGGTTTGGTCTTTCAAATCTCTAGTGTAAACTACAAATTTGTGTTTGCACACAGCTTTATCTGAATTATTCATGTGTAGTAAATTGAACTGTATTTCCACTTAAGTTCTATTTATTCAATAAATGTAAGATAAAGTGATCAATTTCAAAAATGAAGTAATTTAAAACCCTCTCAGAAAACAATATGGATTTTTCAGTTGCATAGTGGTGATCTGGTTTTAAGAATTAGAATCAGGCATGAAAGTGAGTTAGTTGATTAACTGATAACTTTTAAAACATGAGGCAAGATTTTTATATATATATATACACATATATATATATATGTATATATATATATCTGTTACTTTATCTACCAGCTTTCTTTTTTTAAGCTTTCTGCAAATTACCATGGCTTGTTTCAGATTAGTTATATTATACTATAAATATGTCCAGATGTTTTTGTTATTCTGTAATTTGTTGAGTTTGGGCTGAAGACTTTCTTAGATTCTTTTTCCCCCCTTGTAATGATTGATTTCAAAGTTAGTGCTATGTTTTGAATTGTTGTTGGGATTCTTTTTCTGTTGATTAGAAAAGAACCAACAATGATTCTCTCAGCTGCAGAGATACAGCAGCTCTTAGAAACAGAGGCACAATTATTTAATTTAATTTGTACTCATTTCTGTAAGATAATAGCTAGAACATTGTAGATCATCACTAACAAAACATAAATAAATTCATTAAGTAAATTATTTAAATCAATTAAAGAAGTATAACAGTTACATTTCAGTTGACATCTGAATCTACTGCTTAATCTAATAATGCCTATGACTACCTGCTGCACATCAGGGCTGGGGAAAAGTTCATAGTCTGCCTTTGGGAGCTAGATCATGGTGGAGGGGAAAAGAGAGCAAAGCATCTTTCCTTACAATTAATATGTAACAGATTTTTCCCTTTTGTACCTTCTGTTTTTCAGAGATCTATCTTATAACCTGCTAGAAGATTTACCCAGTTTTTCAGTCTGCCGAAAGCTTCAGAAAATGTATGTCTGTAAGAGTCTCTAAGTCACCAAGCGCAAACCAAGAGCCAAAACTCACATTTCCAGGGGTCATTGGTTTGCTTACCCTGTGGTTCACTGGGGAGACATGTGATGCTTTCCCTTCTTACACACAGGAGCTGTGACTGTATAGGATGTCTGTAAAGTTGGGAGACACAGACGATATTATTTTACCATGCATTATACTATAAGTAAGGCATTTAGTATGTTGTGGGTTTTTTTTTTTTTTTTCCTAACCTGGTATAGTAATGAACTGGGTTTATTTGAGCTTTGGAACTTTTTTGAACTTACACCTCCAATGAGTGGCATTATTTTTGTTTTGTTTTGTTTTTTTTCCTGAACACAAGTGAGGCTCATATGCATGGCATTACGTTTTAATATGGGGGTACTTTTGTTGGTATGTTTGCTTCACAATAGTAACCTTCATGGGAATTCCCTGGCGGTCCAGTGGTTAGGACTTGGCACTTTCACTGCGGGGGCCCAGGTTTGATCTCTGGTCTGGGAACTAAGATCCGGCAAGCCGTGCGTGCGGCCAAAAAAAAAAAAAAAAAAATTTCCATTCTAAACCACAATAGTAAGCTTCAGAAGAGGTGCCGTATTAGTCATATTTCAGGTGCCATTGATGCTACTTATGCATGAAACATTTTAGAATTCCTCTCTGAAAATTGCCTCCTCCAGAAAACATCAGTGTTGTTGCTTTATAGTCATGCTTTGGTTTTGGTCAAAACAATACTAACCATCTATCCTTTTCTGCTTAATTCTTCTCCGAATGCCTTTGGGCGAGGAAGGGAGGGGAAAAAAAATCCACCTTGAAAGGTAACGACTTGACACTCCTGAAGACCCTCCAAGGATATAAGAAAGACTCAGAGGGCAGAGAGAGGCATCCTCAAGGTGTTTGAATGATGTTGGCATTTGGAATATAGCTTCAGATTCACCCAAAGGGAAGAGCGGCTTCGAAGGAGAGGCAATACTTTTTTATGTGGTTACATTGCAGTGTTCTTTTTTAAACAAAAAGAAATTTTTCTCAGTGTCACTCGGTAGTCGTAGTTCATGTGTTCCTGTGACTGAGGGCAGGTGACCCCTTTGTAAAAGTTCTCTGAAGACTAATCTTTGAAACCTGTGGCTCTGAAATGAATCTTTGGAACCTGTCATTTCAGAGACCTGCGACATAATGAAATGTGTGAAATTCGAGCCAACACCTTCCAGCAGTTGTTTAGCCTCCGCTCTCTGTGAGTACTCTCTCTCGGCAGCTTCCCCAACATTGAGCACTTTTTATCTCTTTTGGGTCTTCCCCTAATATTTTCTTTTCACTGTATACTTGTACTGTTGGGCCTTTGTGCATGTATCTGCTAGGAGAAGGCAAACATTTTGCTCATGATCATTTCCAGGAACAGGTTCAAAAGCAGTAAATTTGCAATCTGCCCTCTGCCAGTCAGCAGACGTGAAACTCTGATAAAGAGGAAGGAGGCCAAGCTATTGAACTGCCTACAAAATGTGTTTCTGTTCCTAGCTGGGAATTGGCGGAGATTGTTCTGCCTGCAAAACCGGGGTGACCACACAGTTCTTCCTGCCTGTTTTTCTCTCCTGGTCAAATAGTTTTTCAATGTGAGTCTCTCTAAGTGCTTAAGAATCACCTGGAGGTGACTGTAAAAAAATGCAGAGTCCAGGTTCTCACTTGCCTCATGAGTTAGACCCTCTGGAGTAGGGCCTGAGAATCGGCATTTTAACAAGTACACTAAGGTTTAAGCACAACTGTCCTGGAAAATGCTTCTGTTGCTCAGATGACTAAGATTTGTAAATATTAAATTCCATTTTATGATTGAAAATACCATATATTTGACATATATTATAGATATTAATATATTATGTAAATGTATAATATATTATATTTTAATATATACTATAATAGATTATTATATTATTAATATATATTGAAAATACCATAAATACCGCTCCACTCTGATGTGCTTTGCACATTCTGAGCTACAGGACTCAACACTCAGCACTGACATCAGGTAGACCACACACTACCTGAAAATACCATATATTAACCATAAGTTTAAAAAAAACGGTAACAGATTTTTTGTGCATGACAGATGTTTTTCCATCCTGAAACTGGATTTCGATGTAATTTTGGTGAACGGTGACAATATGTAATGTTTAAACTGCAGGATGTTGTTAAAAACCCTTTCTTTCCTAAAGTTTTTCTTAACATTTAAGAGACTATACCTTCATAAAATAATACCATTCCTCAAAACATTTTAAATTCACCTTGGAGAATCAGTTTCTCCCAAAAATTCACTTTGAAAATCATCTTGCTCTGAATTTAATTGTGTTGCCCTTTCCTTACTTTTGGTCTAAAATCGGCTTGTGAAGTTCTTTAACTTTTTAAAATAAATGTAAAACAAAGATATTGTACATTGCCTACTTTTATTACCTGCCTTGTTCACCAGGCTGGAGTTCTGGCTCTTTCCAAAAGTTAGTTCTTTTTCAAATATATCAAAGGTTGATATATTTGATAACACTGTGTTGTACAATTGAAATTTGCTAAGAGAGTAGAACTTAAATATTCTTTACCAAAGACCCATGAATCACTCTCCTAGATCACTGTCATCACCCTCCTTACCGGACTTTCCACCATCAGTCTTTACCCATTCATCTCATTCTCCAAAGAGAATTTTTCTTAAGTAGAAATTGAATCATGTTACTTCCCTGCTTCAAAAATCCTCTGTTATTCCCCTATTGTCTTCAATACCAAAACCAAACTTCCAAGCACCATCCTTCAGAATCTGATTCCAACCCCCTGGAACACCTTCATCTCTCACCCACCAGTTCCCAGTCCCTTGACACATGGACCATTGTTTCTCCTGGTCCTGTTGCCCATTGGATTCCTCCCCACTCTTAACTTGCCCCTGTCCATCCCATAAGAACAACATCTCCTGTCTCTGAGCCCTCTCCACTCTGATGTGCTTTGCACATTCTCTGCTACAGGACTCAGCACTCAGCACCGCCATCAGGTACACCACGCCCTACCTGAAAACGACAAGAATTTTTTCATCTTCTCATCCCCAGCATCTAGTGCAGATGGCAGGGCTTGCAACCCTCACTGGACACGTATTTGATGAGCAGCTCAACAGAAGACAGTCTCCTGCCCAATTCCCATTTGTAGCTTTCCCACTCCTTCCATGCCATTCCTTCCCCTCGTTAGCTGGAATTTTCTTTTGTTCTGCCATCGATGAAAGGAGAAAACTAAAAAGGCTTCCAGTTTTCCCCAGTTCAGGGGCCTTTCAAATGAGAATGTAAATGTTCTGTGAATACCATTTATCCTAAGTAACTCAGGGGGCCCAACACCATGAATAAATTACTTTTCTGTGCTAGAGAAAAGTTGACAGTGATCACTTTCAGTTTCCTCAAATGTCTACACTTTAGTTCCCTTCTGAGTTATGAATTTTAAAAATACGAATTTTAAGTTCATTGCTCTTTTTCTAAAATGTGAAATTTCTTATTCCTGTAAAATTATCTACATTTCATTACATATATGTCTGTGGAGGGAAGGGGTGAGTGAATTTTATTTCTCAATAAATTGTAGATTTTGTTATCAAAGGCTTTTATTTCTAACATATGCTAGCCCCTCTCTTCTTCATTTCCCAGTTAAGAAATAAATGTCCAGGGGCTTCCCTGGTGGCGCAATGGTTGAGAGTCCACCTGCCGATGCAGGAGACACGAGATCGTGCCCCGGTCCGGGAAGATCCCACATGCCGCGGAGCGGCTGGGCCCGTGAGCCATGGCCGCCGCGCCTGCGCGTCCGGAGCCTGTGCTGCGCAACGGGAGAGGCCACAACAGTGAGAGGCCCGCGTACCACAAAAAAAAAAAAAAAGAATTAAATGTCCATTCTCTTTATTGGGAATTTTTTTTTAAAGTATCTCTGTGTTTCTCTTAAGGCCTGACATACATGGACAATGTACACAAATTTTTGTTGAGTGTCATTACATATCCGGGGACATTTTATAACTTAAAATTTACTTGCCTGTCAGAGGAAGAGCCTCAGAAGTTCCTGTCTCTTCCAATTCCCTGACCCCTACTCATCTTAGAAATGCCCTAATAAAATTTTACAACCATGTTAAAGTCAACTTTTTAGCAAGAAGAGAGTAAAATCTGAAGTATCCACCTGAAGGATTTTCCTGGATTGATTTAAACAAGGTTGCTTTAAAATTCTCTTTCATCATTTTATACTATTAATATCTGCCTCTGAAAGATGATTTGATAAGTTAATTGCTCCTGTCCTGAATGGAAATCACATTTTGTTAGAAGAATGAATATATATGGTAAAACTTCACACAGTCTTCTTTTACATAATCCTCTCACTTGCCTTTTTTTTTTTTTTTAATAGGAATTTAGCTTGGAACAAAATTGCCATTATTCACCCCAATGCATTTTCCACTTTGCCATCTCTAAGAAAGCTGTGAGTATTTCATGACTTGTTTATGGCATGTCTTTTAATAATTGGGCCCCATCTGATTAATCAAAAATGTTGGTTTTGCTGAAAAAGCCCGAGTACACAGAATGCCCAGCCCTCAGTGTCTCCTGCACTGGAGCTGGATCACACCAGAAAGGAGCACCCCACTTCCCACCCCCCACCCCTCCAAGGCCATGTGCGTCCTTATGTGGATAAATGACCATCTGGGTGACAGCTGGTTCTGGTGATTGAGGTGAAATTTTCCAATTTTGCTGAGCCATCAGGTGGAATGGACTAAGTAATCAGTTCAGTTCTAAAGGTCTTTCATTTTACAGTTTGCCATCCTGACTAACAGAAAATCTTCCTGTCTGTTTTTTCCCTCCCTTTCCATCTCTTGCTCTTTCCTCTCCCTCTCTCCTGTGTCTCAGAGACAAAGAAGGAACTGGTCAGACAGAAGTTATGGCGAGAAGGAAGAAAATAAACCCCCAACAATGTTTTCCCCCTCACCCCTAACTTGATCTAGTCAGCACCACTTTTCAAATTATGTGTAGCACCCTCCACTTGATTTTCGATGTCCCCATCTGGCAGAATTAAGCTGAATGTAGAAATTACAATTTGGGTGTGATTAAAACATTTTTCTCCTGCAATTCTGATGGTAAATAGAAGAGTTGCTCAGGAGCTAAAACCAAAATGGTTCCTTTTACCATTAAGAGGAAGGACCCTGCTTAGAAGTTTTTATGGAGCAGTTTAATCATCTTTAGGTTGCTTTTTTAACATAATCGTTTTATGCTAACACAGACTAAAAGCCAATTGTTGTTTGATGTTTTGCAGGGACCTATCATCCAACCGCCTGTCGTCTTTTCCTGTAACTGGGTTACATGGTTTAACTCACTTAAAATTAACAGGAAATCATGCCTTACAGAGCTTGATATCATCTGAAAACTTTCCAGAACTCAAGTGAGTTTGTCATTAAAACTAATAAGATACATTTGTGGTCATGTGAAACAATAGACGTGTTATAGTGGTTTTCAAAATTTATGGGACTCTTTTGAATTGCATTTCATGCCTTCAAGTCCCCCACCCCTGGGGCATTGTTAGGACAAGCCCTGGAGTGGGAGAACGTGTCTTCCTGACCACACTTCCTTCCTTCTTCAAAGATGCCTCCTGGAACCACAGAGTTCATGGAAAGAGTTTGAAAACCATTGATCCGTGAGATACAAACTAGGACATGTAATTAAATAACATTATAACATAATTGTACTCCTGTTGACATGTTTAAATTCGTCTTGCTTATGTATATGTTCTAATAAAATGTACTAAATTAATATTTGTTTAAGTAATGCTCTTTAAAACCTGTTACACTTATTAGCGATAAAGTCCCTTGAAAGATTATATATATATATGTATATACACATATATATATTCTGTATATATATTAAACCACAGTACTTTTTACATACTTTAAAACCATAACCCCAAAAGAGAGTTTAGAAAATAAAAGAGAGGAAAAAATGTCTACAAATACCCTTAAACAAAGTTTTATGTTATTTCCTTCCAGATTTTGTTTCCAATGTATTTTTAATTGTTAGAATCATAGTACGTATACAAACTTATATCACCTTTTGTCACTTTATGTTATGTCATACCATAAGCACTTTTTAATGGTGTTACAATTTTCCTAACAGTCATTTTTTAGTGTTTTTATTATGGAAATTTTCAAACTCAAAAGTAGAGAAAATAATATATCCATCACTCAGCCTCAGCAACTGTCAACATTTCATGGCAATAATTTTTAATAACTCCGTTGTTATGAATAGCACTGTAATCAACATCTTTATGCACATAGTTAATATTTTAGATTACTTATTAAGGCTAAGATCCACAGGCAGAATTATTAAGTGAAAAATGAGCACTGTATTTAACAATCTATTTCTTTAAGTATGTGTTTTTGTTTGATTTTGTTCATTCAAAGGGTTATAGAAATGCCTTATGCATATCAGTGCTGTGCATTTGGAGTATGTGAAAATGTCTATAAAATTTCTAATCAATGGAATAAAGGCGACAACAGCAGTGCAGATGACCTTCATAAGAAAGATGCTGGAATGTTTCAAGTTCAAGGTAAGAGCTGCTATGTCACTGTGATGAAATTGTGTCTGAACGGGGCTTGAAAAGTCATCGAGCAGATCATCTGAACTCCAAACAAGTCCCTATGTGATCACCCCAGCAAGTTGAGGATCAATCCCACTTTTTAAAGATTCTTAGAGAAAGAGAAAACTCCTTTAGGATTCATTCTAAAAAGTCATCTTTTCTCTAAGCGATTTCTTAATACTTATATTTACAATCAGATCCCTTTTAGTACATATTGTCCTCAGGGGTAAATATTAAAATTGATTATCAATATTTTCATAAACTTTTTTGAGGGCCTTATCCCTGTGGATAACTTTTTCAAACATGCTTCTGTGCTTTTTTCTCCAGAAAATACAATCTATTTTTATTCTTAAACCCCAGTGGGGAGTGGAGGATATAGACATTTTAGATGCCTCCATATTTCAGCAGAAGGGCTTAAGAATCCAACTTCTTATCCAACTAATCCTAAAACATTCTCCCCACCTACCCCCCACAAAGGCTAGCTGTCAGGAAAGTGAAATGAAATAATGTCTGTAAAGCACTTGGCTTTCCTTGAAGCAAGACCTGACTTAAATAGACAACAATGTACCTCAAACCACACCTGTGGTAATGAGGCAGTGCTCTGGGCAGCCCCCAATTTCCTTTCCCTGCCAACCTTGCAAGTTTGCACAGAGTCTAAATAGACTGGCTTTTCTTCCTTTGGGTCTTAATGATTTGTTGATTCCCAAGCAAGTACGATTCAGTCTGTCTGCACATTATCTTAACTTTTCTTCCTGCACACAGACCTGATTAAGGAGCTGATATTATAGCCCTTGGCTTTTTTATTTTAGGCTACAGCACATGTCTTGCTCTTGTTCTTGCTTTCATTTTTGCTTTTTCTGCCTCACCCACCCTAATTTCTACTATATTTATTCAACCCTCCCCCCAAAAAAATAAACAATTAGAGTGTCTACTGTGTGCCAGGCACTGTTCTATGCCCTAGAGGCACACAATGAATGAGAGAGACAAGGTTCTTCGTGGAGTTTATTTTCAAGGACAATGATTTGCAACCCTGGTCCATATATTGTAATCACACAGAAGCTTTTAAAAAACACTGGTGCCCAAACCTCACCCCAGACCAATTAAATCAGTAAGTGTGTTAGATCACAAAACTCCTGTTTCATGGATAGCTAATCCAAGCACCAGTTACTTGATTTGTCCTCTGTTAAGCAGAATTCCCCAGAAAGATAGAAACGTACTAATTCTCCCTCTTGTACTCAGAGAACACAGCTCAGAACATTTGCACTATAGCTATCTAAGTGTTAGAAAATTGGATAAAGTGGTTCTTCCACTGAATGGAGAGGCCCACGCTCTCTCTCTAATTTAGGTCAGTGCAATTTGGGGCCATCGTGAGCTCCAGGGAACAAGAACAGAATGAGAGAGCTTCGACGTTGTGACAGGGAGTCCAGGGTTACTGTCCCTTGCCCCCAGTTCTGCTGAAATTCTGTCATATAGTAGCTTGAGTAGAACATCCCAAAGCAATTTTATAATAGACTTGCAAGAAAGCCCAGGGAAAAGTGGGATGTCTGACCCTCAGTTCCCTTTGTGACATTTCATGTCTCTAGGGCAATCCAGGACTCTCCTCCCTGGAAGTTGGCCCCTGAAAAGAGAGACAGAACTAATCATTCCAGAACTTCTCATTCCTGCAGATGAGCGTGATCTTGAAGATTTCCTGCTTGATTTTGAGGAAGACCTGAAAGCCCTTCATTCGGTGCAATGCTCACCTTCCCCAGGTGAGAAAGGCATCAGAACTGCTCAACAGCAGTACCCACCCTTAATTCCGAGGCCATCAGGGACATTTGGCTACACTTCAAGGCAAAATCTGTGCCATCTTTGCAGCTCATCAATATCCCACCCCATGGGGACCTTTAAAATACAAATGTTCGTTCCCTGGAGTTGGTCTCCATTCATAAATAGGATCTTTGTAGGAGACTTTTGATTCAGATTAATGGAAATGAAAGAACCAATCTTATAGTTAGAAGTATATGTAATTTTTAAAATAATATTAGCTATTTAGTCTGGTATGCAACAGTCTTGCTTCATGTAATCACTGATTTTTGACAGTGATTTCTTGTAAGTCTTCTCTAAATAGCTATTTGGTTAAAGCAAATAATAGTTTTAGAGATAAGTAAAAACTATATATATTATTCACTTAATTGTTTGTCCCATTCCCTGAAATAGGATAGGCCAGTTGAAAAAAAAAAAAAAAGACAGCTGGGGAGGGTTGATATTTCATTTTCAACAATTTGATGGTTCCTTGCACCTAAACGTCAAACGTCAATGTAAACCTAAGATGACATTCTCATGAAATGCACCTTCATACTTCCTCTTCTAACATCACTGAGTATTTCCCTAGGATTCTCCTTCCCTGTTTACAGAACCTTTTTTGAAGCATTCTGGACAAATATCATAAAACGCCCAGGAGGGACTTCCCTGGTGGTCCAGTGGTTAAGACTTCGCCTTCCAATGCAGGGGGTGCGGCTTCGATCCCTGGTCGGGGAGAAAAGATCCCACATGCCTCCAGACCAAAACAACAAAACAAAAAAAAACAGAAGCAATATTGTAACAAACTCAAAAAAGACTTTAAATATGGTCCACATCAAACAAACAAACCAAAAAAAAACTTTATTAAAAAAAAAACAAAAACCAGAGATCTGACTTGTTACCTGGCCCTCACACTGCTGTATTTGGGGGACCTGAATCCAGTGATTTAAACTCCCCGGCTCCATTTCTCTGGGCATAGCTTGAAAATCTGGGCACCCGGTATATTCACCTTTATATTAAATAGTGGTTTAATAAAGTGGAGTATGCCATAAGGGAACTGTGTGTTACCATGGCTGTTACTGGTCTCTATCTCTTGGTGTCCTAACAAGAGAAACAAAGAGGTAATTTGGCAAAAGTTGTGAACCCTAATTTGATACCCAGTCTTTTTCTTCCTTGGACCTCTAGGCCCTTTCAAACTCTGCGAATACCTGTTCGGTAGCTGGCTGATCCGCATTGGAGTGTGGACCATAGCAGTTTTGGCCCTGACGTGTAATGCCCTGGTGACTTCAACCGTGTTCAGAGCCCCTCTGTACATTTCCTCCGTAAAACTGTTAATTGGGTTAATAGCCGTGGTGAACATGCTCACGGGGGTCTGCAGTGCTGTGCTGGCTGGCGTGGATGCCTTTACTTTTGGCAGCTTTGCGCAGCACGGTGCGTGGTGGGAGCAGGGGGTCGGCTGCCAGGTCGTCGGGTTTTTGTCCATTTTTGCTTCGGAATCCTCGGTTTTCCTGCTTACCCTGGCAGCCCTGGAGCGTGGGTTCTCTGTGAAATGCTCTGCAAAATTCGAAACGAAAACTCCTTTTTCCAGTCTGAAAGCAATCGTTGCGCTCTGCGCCATGCTGGCGGCGACCATCGCCGCGGTTCCTCTGCTGGGCGGCAGCGAGTACAGCGCCTCCCCGCTCTGCCTGCCTCTGCCCTTTGGGGAGCCCAGCGCCACAGGCTACATGGTGGCCCTCGTCTTGCTCAATTCCCTTTGCTTCCTCGTGATGACCATTGCCTACACCAAGCTCTACTGCAATTTGGAAAAGGGAGACCTGGAGAATATTTGGGACTGTTCTATGGTGAAGCACATTGCTCTGTTGCTCTTCACCAACTGTATCCTTTACTGCCCGGTGGCTTTCTTGTCCTTCTCCTCTTTACTGAACCTCACATTCATCAGCCCTGAAGTAATTAAGTTTATCCTTCTGGTGATTGTCCCCCTTCCTGCATGTCTCAATCCCCTTCTCTACATCCTCTTCAATCCTCATTTTAAGGAGGATCTGGGGAGCCTGGGAAAGCAAACCCACTTCTGGACAAGATCGAAACACACAAGCCTGATGTCTATTAACTCTGATGATGTTGAGAAACAGTCCTGTGACTCAACCCAGGCCTTGGTAACCTTCACCGGTGCCAGCAGACCCTATGACCTGCCTTCCAATTCTGGGTCACCAACAGCTTATCCGATGACCGAAAGCTGTCATCTTTCATCTGTGGCATTTGTCCCATGTCTCTAATTAATATGTGAGAGAAAGTTTTCAAAAATTGAAAACCCAAAAATGTGAGGTTGAGTATATCAGAGCAGTAACTAAAAAGAGCTGAGTGGAAACTTGATTTAAAAAAAAAAAAAAAAAAACCTCTCAGTGTCAAAAAGCTGATAATTATCGATACAAGAGAGTGAAAAATAAGTCTAAATGCTGCTTATACAACTCGTTCAAGCTATATAACTCAGTCACACTCTTCAGGTAAGCCTAAAATATATATAAATATTTTAAAAACAGATTGAAATGTTCAAAAAATTCTCCATGATTTCAATGTAATTCTTTTTCAACTCACTTGCTTACGAAAGGGGTTTTAAACCAGAAAACCCCTTCATATATGGTTGGAGGTATTAGGAAAATAAAAGTTTTTAAATGGCCTACATTACTAAGTAATGGTTGTGACCAGTAGGATTTCATTTTAATGACCATGTGGAGATGTTTTAGTACTGCATCACCTTTCCTCAGAAAGGATCCTTCCAGGTCACCAATACCCCTGTGAATGGATAACATAAGGCACTATTAATTCATTCATAGTCACATCATTTTTAGAGATGCTAGACTTTATGTATCAGCACTAGATGGTTCCACCCTCAGTGGAATAAAACTGCTTACAAATACTTTGAAAGGAAAATGAACTTAAATTCATAAATTGCCATGAAGGCAATGATGTACAGATGAGGTCTTGTCTAATTCATTTTTAACTCCTTGGTGCCCAGAGGTTCGAAGAAAACTCCATTGCCAGCAATGGACATTCGCAGAAAAGACGGTAAGCAACCTGGGATTATTTTCCCCCTGGGTGAGTGCACGTTTTTCACAGGAGGTTTTATCACTTGATTCAAACTGATGTGCATCATAAGGTAACAATCAAATGCAGACACAGCATAAACTAAATCCACTGATATAACTTCTCACAGGTACCTCTAGTAGCTTTAGCAACAATGTCTGAAACCACTTTTGACTCAACAGGAACTTGGTAATGTATTATCCTGTTTATTTAGCTTGGTTTTAGCTATGTTGTCTTTGGATCAACCTACCTGATGTCAAGAACATGACTTCTCTGCTTATTCCATATCTAATACATGTGTTAGGTATTGTACAAGGCAAAATTATTAAATACTAAAGGTCAAAGGATGAATTAATAATTTCTATTATACTACATTAGCTTCACTACATCCAAACCAAAAGACTGTTAGGTAGATTTATTTTTATATAAGCATGTTTATTTTGATCAGATGTTTTAACTTGGAATTGAAAAAAATACATTTATGAGATGTTTTATAAGATGTGTAAATATAGAACTGTATTTATTACTATAGTAAAGATTCAGTAATACTAAGGACCATGATAATAAACCATGTACAGTGGCATATTCTTCCATATATATTGTGTTTCTCTGCCCATTTTCTTTAAATTCATTAACTGTATGTAATATATGTAAATGTATATAGTACTTGTAAATAGACTCCAAACTTGCTTTTCTATTAGGTACAAAATAAAAGAAATTTGTAATAAAATGTGTGACTATAAAACAAAATATTTTCAAGTGCTTTATTGATCCCATAGGCAAATACATGGTCTCCTAAACGTTTTTGAGTTTTGAGGTTTAAATACATTTGCTATCTAAGTATTTGCACTTCAGTATTTTAAGTATTCTGGACTTGTCTTAAGAAGTAAATCTTTCACAAGAACAAATCAAAATATCTTTACCAACTCCTAGATTGTTTTAACTATGACTGATAAGCCATTTTTGTCATGACAAATGACTTGGTGAAGTTCATTTTCCCCAGTGATAGTTTGGACTTCATAGCCAGAGTCTACTTCTTTTGCAATGTAAAAAGAAAAAAACACAATTAGAAAGAAATGCATAAATAACAAATCAACCCTAAAATCATTCAACATGAATATGAGTTTTCCATAAATTTTTCCTTTAAAGAAAACATATTTTATGACCATGTCAAGGCCAAAAGATAAATACATGCGATTCTCGGGGCACAAAGAAATACACTAGTCCCCTTTAGTTCTCATCCCCCAAAACATAAGAAATGAAATGATTTTTCTAAACACCTAGTGCTAGACCCTCCCAGCTTCGATGATGATTCCTGCTCTGCCTGTACAAATTGTAAAATGAAACCATCAAGTAGTAGTTGAAGCCTCAGCATTATTGCTAAGATGAACCCATATTGACTGAGCACCTCCAGGGTACCTGGCACTGAGTTTCCCACCCATCCATCAGATATAATCACATGCTTCAACCTAACCTACTTAACAGGCATCCAGTGGGATCCTACTATGCAGTCTACACTTTGTCTTCAGCTGAAACAAGGGCCATAACATAATCTCACTGTTCTTAATCTCATACCTCTTAGCCCAGGCAGCTGATACGAAAGTTGCCTCAGAAGCAGTGGATCTCAGTCTCTCTTCTCCACATACTTGCTTTTGGGTACCCAAAGTTAGGAACGTCCCGGCAGCCCACCCCTCCCTTTCTCTCCCACTCAAGAAAATGCAAGTCAGTGGTGTGACTTTTTTAAAGGAAAAAAAAATCCACTCTGACTTATTTCTTTAAAAATCCACAAACTCTGGCTTCCCTAGTGGCGCAGTGGTTGAGAGTACGCCTGCCGATGCAGGGGACACAGGTTCGTGCCCCGGTCCGGGAAGATCCCACATGCCGCGGAGCGGCTGGGCCCGTGAGCCATAGCCGCTGAGTCTGTGCGTCCGGAGACTGCGCTCCGCAGCGGGAAAGGCCACAGCAATGAGAGGCCCGCGTACCGCAAAAAAAAAAAAAAAAAAAAAAGATGTTGAACTCAGATTCTACACTGATTCATTCATTTCAGACACAAGTTCCAGCATGTTTGACCCTTGCAGCCTATTGAGGAGGATGATAACAAAGCTTTAGCTTGTCTGGGTTCAGAAACAGGTAGAACATACATGTTATGAGCTGGAGAAGCATTGTGGAATATTGTTCCTAACTCTAGCCACATTAGGACATCACTTACCATTCTAGCTGGGATATATTAAGTGGGAACCTTAAAAACATGCTACTCCATGAGGACAGTGAATCTAATGATATGGGCTGGGGAAATGATAGTTCTTCAAGGAATAACTGAAAAAAAATGAGAATGTTTCACCTGGAGAAAAGGCTAAAGGAAATCATTTGAAATATTTGAATAATTGAAATTTATGAAGTACTTTCTTTCATAGCAGGCCAAAGAGTAAAATGATTAAGTCCAGGAATTTGCTGCCAGACAGAACTGTGTTCAAATCCTAGTCCTATGACTCTGTAGTAGTTGGCCAAGTTATTCAATTTTTCTCAGCCTCAACTTTCTCCTCAGTAAAATGGGAATAATACCATCAGCCTCATAGGATTAGAAGTATTAATAACTCAGTGTATAAAGTTCTCATTAATACCTAGAACATAGTAAATATTTAATAAATGGTTACTGTTACTTTCCCAACAACCCTATGACATGAACAAAGTAGGACTTGCCATTTTGCAGTTGAAGAAACAGTGAGTCAAAGTATTTAAGTGACTCCCTAAGGTCAAAGATGAGGACCTAGTATTAAAACTTGCACTTTTATTTAATAGCACTTGAAAGGCAGTCATAGAGTAAGCTGAACTACTCTTTCAGAGAACAAGAACTAATTGGTGAGTAATTCAGGGAGACAGAGTTGGGTTTAATCTAAGTAAGATTCATTTATCAGAAGTCTTGGATACCAAAGAAAATCCATTATATTGAAGGAGACGTTTGATCAAATAATGGCTAACTTTTCAATTCTCAATGCTTTAGCTGAATTCTTGTGTTAGTCTTCTTACAAGGTGTGATATTGTGATTTATAATAAGAAATATATAGTTGGTCTTGTTACCCATTTCTGGCACATAGCTTCTAAAACTCTTGGAATTTCCTAAGTGAGGAGAGCCCTGAAGGTGTCTTTTGTTACGTTAATGAGGTGACTTTGGGGAAGTCCCTACTGATCTAAGGATGGGGGCCAGTTGCCGTGGGAACCAACCCTGAGATTAGAGGGTTGGAACTTTCAGTCCCACTCCCACCTCACCCCCAGTCACCCCCTTACCCTGTCCCCAACCTCCTGGGAAGGGAAAGAGGCTAGAGATTGAGTTCAATAACCAATGGCCAGTGATTTAATCAATCAGTCTGTGTAATGAAGCTTCCATAAAAATCCAAAAGGTTGGGGTTCAGAGAGCTTCCAGGTTGGTGAACATGTGCAGATCTGGGGAGAGGGTCTGGAGAGGGCATGCAAGCTCAGAGCCCTTTCCACATACCTTGCCCTATGCATCTCTTCCACCTGGCTGTTTCTGAGTTATAAACTTTTATAATAAACCAGTCATCTAGTAAGTAAAATGTTTCTCTGGGTTCTGTTAGTCACTCTAGCAAATGTATTGAACTCCAGGAGGGGGTCTTTGGAACATTCCACCCATAGCCAATTTGTCAGAAGCACAGGTAACAACTTGCATATGTACCACATCTTCTTTATCCATTCATCTGTTGATGGGCTCTTAGATTGTCTCCATATCTTGGCTATTGTAATTAATGCTGCAATGAACATAAGGGTGTATATATCTTTTCAAATTAGTGTTTTTGTTTTCTTTGAATAAATACCCAGAAGTGGAATTGCTGGATTATATAGTAGTTCTATTTTTAACATTTTGAGGAACTTTCACAGTGGCTGCACCAATTTACATTCCCACCAACAGCGCATGAGTGTTCCCTTTTGTCCACATCCTCTCCAACACTTATTTCTTGTTTATTCTAAAGGTGTGATGTGATATCTCATTGTGGTTTTAATTTGCATTTCCCTGATGATTAGTGATGTTGATGATTAGTGATGTATTCAGAGTTTTTCCTCTGAATACCTCTGTAATGAAGAAGAAAAAAACTTTTTTTTTTTGGCCATGCCACATGGTATGCAGATCTTAGATCCCTGGTCGAACCCAAGCCCCTTGCAGTAGAAGCACAAAGTCTTAACCACTGGACTGCCAGGGAAGTCCCTAAATACTTTTTATATAGGAACTGGAGGTATCTATCCCAGCCAAAATTCC